AAGCTCCACCCCGAGGGCCTGGCTCAGCTCGCCCGGGCGGATGACTACGAGCAAGTCAAAACCGTGGCCAACTACTACCCGGTGAGGCTCCAGGGCACCCGGGTGTCGTAGGGCCGGTCAGTGCGAGGGAGCCGCACAGCCAGTCCAGCTTGCCCAGTGACCAGCGTCGCCTGCGTTGGTGGATCCTTCTGAACTTTGAGTTTTGCATTCGTTTTGTCGGTGTCTTTTGGGGTGACTCTTTTTCTGAGCGCAGGCATTTCCCAGCCTGGCCTGCCCCGGAGTTTTGGGCTGGAGTTCTTCTGCGTGTGGCGCTGCTCCCAGTACAGGGGGTAGCATTTGCCGAGAGAAGTTTGGACATTTCTTCTTGCTTTCCTCTGGTGCCGGTCCAGCGAAAAAGAGTCTGGCTTGTAGTTTACCCTTCCTTTATATTGGGCAGCTCAGGTTTCCTCCTCCCGAGAGCTGGGCAGGGGGAGGACTGGCCAGGGCGTGGAGCAGGATCAGGGCTTAGGGGCTTCTGCTTTCGAGGCCAGCAGCCCCTTGGCCACCCCCACCCTCCCCTGTCTCAGAGGGGAAGTTCTGGCGCTCATCCATCGAGGCCGCCTGACTGGCGCCTTTTCTTGCCCTGCTGGCTCTTTTACAGCCTCTCAGCCAAATCCTAGCCCATTGACCGCTTGAGGAAAAGTGCCCCCCGGGTGGGTGGGTGGGGGCCGGCTTCCCCCGTTCTCCCCTCATTTCCCTCTCTCCTGCAGGAGTACAAGTTGCTCTTTGAAGGAGCTGGGAGCAACCCTGGTGACAAAACCCTCGAAGACCGATTCTTTGAGCACGAGGTGAGCGGCGGGGGGGGGGCTCCTCATGGCGAAGGGGGGAGGGCCCCCACCCGGGCTGTGGAAGGGAGACGGAGGGGCTGTCCCTCGGGACCCTCTCCCAAGGCTGCCCTCTGTGAATGGTGATGGTGAGGAGCCTCAGAGGGGGCGGGGGGGGGGCAGCAGAGAAATCCAAAGCCCCCCTTGGCTGCCCTCTGCAGTGTTTGTGGGGCCGTTGGACGAAGGCCCCCTGCTTCAGCCTTGTCACCCTCCCTACCATTGTGCCCCAGCTAGACTTTCTGCAAAGGAGGAGAGTCCCCCCCCTTCCCTGCTGCCCCCCAGCAGGCTCCCTTGGCCCAGAGTAGGGCAGTGGTGAGCTGGGCCCTCAAGGGCAGCTGCCTGGCTTCAGCAGGGGGATAGCCGTGCTTTGAACGCCAACGTTCAGCCTGGACCAGGTATCAGTGGGGCGGGGGGGTGGCCACCACAGCAGAGGTCACGGGGGGGGAGGGGGGGGGCTGCAAAAACCTCCCCTGCCAAGCCCATGGGAGAAGGTGGTTCTTCCCCTGGTCAGCTGGGGCTTCCCGGGACTGCAGGATGCCTGCTCAGGTGTGTCTCTTCCCGGCAGGTGAAGCTGAACAAACTGGCCTTCCTGAACCAGTTCCATTTCGGTGTGTTTTACGCTTTTGTGAAGCTGAAGGAGCAAGAATGTCGCAACATTGTGTGGATCGCAGAGTGCATTGCGCAGCGCCACCGAGCAAAGATCGACAACTACATTCCCATCTTCTGAGTGTTTCCCTTCACCCGGCAAAGCCCGTAGATGTCTGGGTGGCCCCTCCAGCCCCGCCTGGGGAGGCCGAGGCAGGAGGCTTTCCACCCACAACCCCCTTTCCTCTTGGACTCCTCCTGCCTGCCTGCCAGAATTGGACCGGCCCAGTTGTGCTGTATCTGTACCAACTCGTTGTGCTGTTGAGAAGGCCTCTGGCTGGGCGCATCAGAAGGCTTCACCCCCGCAGCCGTCCTGGTGCCCCCATTTGGGACACACTGAGTGGCCAGTTCGCTTCAGTGGCCCCTCTTAGCATGGGCTGCCTGTTGCCACCACCCTCGGGGGCTTCTCGGCCTCGGTCAGGGCAGCCAAGTGGCCCTCTGCCCGGAGTCCCACCCTCCTGGGGGCCTGCCTGCTTCTCCCTCCCTGGGTGGCCTCCTGTCTCCTGCAGATGGCGGCTCTGGCCCTGAGCAGCAGCAGCAGCAGCAGCTCCAGCCCTCCCTTCCCCCCTGCCAGGATGGTCGGGGGTCGCTCCTTGCAAGGGCCCTGGGGGGTCTCAGCCCCAAGTTCAGGCGAGGATCTCCCTGCCCGGGATGGCTCTGAGCTCTCCCCACTGCTCCGTCTCTGGGGCATCCGTAAGGCCTGACTGGGCACCTGCACCAGCCCGTTTACCTGAGCAGGTGAGGCTGGTGCTTTTGACCTCGTCACCAACTTTTCTCCCACCAGCGGTAATCGAAAAAGCTTCCCTCGGAGCCGGCCCAGAGCTCTTGCCGAAAGTCCCACCTTTCTATTGAGATGGCCCCTGGGGAGGTGTGTGTGTGTGAGTGTGTGTGGGGGTCTTTGTTGCCAGGCTTGCTACCCTTGAGCAGCAACAAACGACAGGCGTCCATCTGTTTGCACCACCCTTGAGAAAATGGGCTCCGCCTGCCCCCTCCTCCCCCCCCCCCCCCCGGGGAAAGGGGCCCCCCCCCCCCCCCCCCCCCCCCCCCCCCCCGGTGGGCAGAGTCCCCGGTCCTTGTCCAAGGCTGCCTTTCCCTGGATTTTGTGGGTGAGAAGTCAGCCCAGTCGGCCTCCGTGTGTGCTCAGTGATTGTGCTGTTCCCAGTGTGTTTGTGTATCTTCCTCTTAAACCATAGTGATGAACCACTGAATCGCTCTTTCTGTCTTCCGGCCTCTTGCACCTCTGGCAGACCGCAGAGCTCGGGCTTCTTGCGGGGTTTGGTCTGAACCGTGAGCGGAAGGATCCAAGGATCATCCCCACCAAGGCTTCCACTCAATTCTCGCAAGTGGGCGGTTCTCTTTAATAAACCAACAAGCAAACCAATTTCAGTCAATGACTGAGCAGCTTACAGTTCATAAAATATATTAAAATTTTGCACCCTGATTTACACCTGGAAACACTGGTGGCCAGTGCAGCTCATGCAGGAATGGTGTTACAAGTGCTGTGTATCTGGCACCAGATACTACCCACATGGCTGCATTCTACACCAGTTGAAGTTTCCCAAGGGTCTTCAAGGGCAGCCCCATGTAGAGTGTGTAACAGTAGTCTGACCTGGAGGTTACAAGGGCATGGGTTGCTGTGAGTAGGGCCTCCCAGGACAAGTATGGATGCAAAAGTTGGAGCTTCTTTTGCAGCCGTCCGTCCCCAGCAACCCCTAGGCGCTGGGACAGGGTATCCCAGGCATCGCTCAAAGCGGGGGAAAGACTTAAAACGGGGTGTCTTCTGCATACGGATGATGTCTCACCCCAAAGGATGGATCCCTTCACTCAGCAGCCTCCTGTCCATGTTAAAGCTCGGGAGAGAGAACACAGGCACCCCACGGAGGAGGGCCCACAACCTGGCTCTCAACTGGCCCTGGAGGAGGGAGTGCCAGAGGCCCTCCGTGGTGCAGTCAGTGCCGTCTCCGACCCCAATCCTGGTCTGCACCCCAACTGAGACTAATCTGCTTCATCCAGAGTTCCCTGAAGCTGCCACGCAACACCCCCCCCACCCCCCGAAAGAGGAGCTCAGGGACCAGGTGGAAACGGCCCAAGCTCCCTGACCCTTGGAGGACAACCGATCCCGCTTCCTGAGGCTGGGCTGGGTCACTTTGACCCACCAGGTGGTCTGGGGCTCTGGGTTCCCGCAGTCCTAGCCAACAGCTGTAGTTCAGCCTCTGGGCCTTTATTCCTCCTCTGGAGAAACGGCTGATGCACCCGGTTTGTTTACAGCCCTTCAAACAGTTGAATGTGGCCATTGCTCTGTTTCCCTCCCCAGAAGGGCTTGTGTTCCTCTGCATGCCCCGAGCCGCCTCTCTGCTCCTGTCTCCAACCAGAGGCCCGTTCCAGGAGGAGACCCGGCTGACTTGGCGGGTGCCGTGCAGAGGGAACAGGCTGGTGGGCTTTGAGGGAACCCAGCAAGGTTTGCTGGCTCTGGGTGGGCCAGGTGGCTTGACTTTCAATGAACATAAAAGTGATTTATATGGGACTAAAACTCTGCTGCTAACTTCCTAACCGTGTTCCATCCCTGGAGGCTTTCAAGAAGAGGTTAGACAGCCATTTGTCCGGAGTGGTGTGGGGTCTCCTGTCTGAGGAGAGGTTGCACTACAAAGCCTCCAAAGTCCATTCCAACTCTTGTTACTTCCCAGTTAATCTGAAATTGTTTGACCTATAAAAACCATGAAAATTCCTTCAATTTGCTCTGCTGTCTCAGGGAATAGAACTTGAAGCAGCAGAACAGCAGCAAATAAGGAAAGCTGAAGAGGGGCGTGGCGGGTGATCAGTCCCGCCCTAGGTGCCCATTGGCAGAAGAGCCAAGGCCAGCGCCAAGGGCCCCTCCTCCCACGCTTCTCCCGCTCTCCCTTTCGGCCTGGCAGGGGCCGCCTTGTTCTGGGGAGCCAGCCTTTTGGGGGAGGGGGGGTTGCAGCCAGGAGCTGCTGGCATTGAAACCCAACAGTATCTGGATGGCTCCCAGTAAAACACAATACCCAATCCAATAATGAAGTATTTTTTTATTTAACTAAGTAACAATATAATTGTGCTCCCTTTGAAGAAGGAAAAAAAAGGCTCACCGGTGAGGCCCCCTTAATGCTTTCCCTGCACAATGGTGGGGGCTGCCGTGGAGGAGGAGTGGCCCGAGCCACAGAGGCCAAAGGCCACGACGTTGAGGTCAGTCCCTGTCCAGCAAGGGGCAGGAGAAGGTAGCTTGGTTTGCCTGAGGCAGCTTTTAAGGAGGTATATGAGAGAGGTGGGCAGAAGCTCTTTGTTTCGGCTAGCAGCAGCTTCTGCCCTCTCCTTTGGGGGGGGGGGGGGGGGGAGTCCCGGGCAGGCTTTGTTTAGAAAGGACGCAGCTTCTATCCACGGCCAGGGCAGGTGTGTTCCCCCCCCCCCCCCCCAGGGAAAGGGGGGGGGAACCCCGGGTTGCCCCCCCCCCCCCGGGTGGTGTGGGCAGGGGGCTGACAAAATGGCACTGGCCTGTTTCTATAGGAACAAATTCCTCTTCTAGCCATCTGGATCTGGATACAGGTGGAATAAAAAGGAAACTTTCTCCAGAGATTCTCTGGGGGTGTGTGTGTGTGCAAGAGAACCCAAGCAGCTCTCACGATGGTGTTGGGGTATGGCAGGCCTTGGGACACAACCCCTGTGGCAGTTTGGGGTTGATAAAAAAGGTTTTTAGGAAAAGGTCCCGGACTGTGTGAGGGAGGTAATGGTGGATGAAGTACATGAGCCACAGGCCTCTCCCTGGGTAATATTTGAGCAGAGGCTTGGGGGAAAGGAGGCCGTCCGTGATGCTGTCCACCACCGAGCTGAGGTCCTCCACAGCCACCTTCATGAAATCCACAAACTGCCTGTTGATTTCCTCAAGGTACTCCTCTCCATAGGCTTCCAGAAGGTCGTTGGGTAAAGCTGCAAGGAGCTGGTCCTTCCTCTCCTTCCAGTACTCGGGGTTACAGCTGCCACCTGTAGTAAGGGAGAGAGGAGGGGAGCTTTCATACTCTTCCATAAGGCATCAGAGAAGGCTGGGGTCTGCGAAACAGGGACGGTTGCTAGTAATGTAAAGCCTGGTCTTCCAAGAATCTCGCTTTGTATTTTTAAATGAGAGCAGAGGATTGCTTGCCTGCTCTCTTTGCTCCACGCAGCATGCGACATTTTCACAATCGTTTAGACCTTCGGAGTCCTTGCTGCAGATTCCACACCAATGAGGGTCCCCTGTTCCAGCTCTGCTGCAGGCCTTCAAGAAGGAAGGGAAGCAAGGACACCCGGGAAGGTGAGCCTCCCCTGGAAGGAGTGGAGCTAAGACACGCAACCTACAGGGAAACGTCCACTGATAAGGACCTCTTGGCTTGGATCAATTCCTGAGATGCGCTGACTTTCCAGGGAAATTGCTGAGCTCAGAAGACCACAGAGAAAAATCTCACTGGAAAGCAGCAGAGATCTTAAAGTATATGTGGAGTTGCTGTAGGTGGGAGAAATGCACGTATCCATACTTAGAGCTCAGCTATCACTAATTTGCCTTAATGATTTTAAAGTGGAAATCAAAGAATGAGAAAGTGATACAATATCATCTACCTTTTTCTCAGCCTGCCTTGCAGAAGTATTTCGCAAACTAGACTGGGCAAAATATGGAATAAAAATCAATGCTACTTAGTTAAATCAAAGATTTGCAGATGATGTTGTTCTCTTCTCACAAGACCCAGAAGAGCCACAAAGACACCTACAAGAGCTGCACAAAGCAGGAGAACAATTCGGCTTACAAATAAACCTGAAAAAGAGCCAGGTTCTGTTTAATAAATTCACCAAAGAAAGGGGAAAAAGGTATATCTGGTGAGGAATTAGATATAGTAGACCACTGCAGGCTATATACTTTGACCAGCAGATCTCAATGGAAGGTGGAACAATAAAGGAAACTCTTAAATGTGGTTGGGAGGCATTTGGCAAGCGAAGTGTCGTTTGCAGGAACAAGTTCCCCCTGTGCTTGAAAAGCTTTCGACCAGCGGGTGCCACCTGCTCTAACCTATGTCAGTGAAACATGGACACGAACCTCACAAGGGATGCAAAAGCTAGAAGTGGCACAAAGAGCCACAGAAAGATACAAGCTCGGCATCACAAGACCAAGATAGGAAAACCTGCACAGAGAACAAATGAAAATATACGATGCCATCAAGAGAGAAAAAGAATGGAAATAGAAATGGGCTGCTCACAGAGCAAGAAGAACGGAGGGCAGGTGGACCAAGGCAGTCACAAAATGGATCCCGCTTGATTAAAAAGTGCCCACAAGAGAGACCTAAAACAAGACGGATCAACGACATCAGCAAATATGGTGGGCCCAAGTGGCAAAAAGGAAGCTCAGGACCGTATACTGGTTGGAAACATGCAGAAGGGGCCTTCATCCTGCAGTGGATAAACCATGGCTAGAAGAAGGAAGAGGAGGAACCAGCACAGCACTATCCAAGTATTTTCAGCCTCACCTGTTTTGAAGTACCCTGGAAAAATCACGCTCACTCTGATCCCCCAGGGAGCAAGTTCGCAGTGGAAGGTGTCCATCAGAAGGCTGAGAGCTGCTTTGGAGGTCCCGTAGCTGGCCAAGCAGGGGTAGGGCATATTGCCTGAGGGAACACAAACAAGCCTTACTACTGCGCCTCTCCTCGGCCCTCTCCACGGCTTCAAGCGCCCCCAGCAGCAGTGCCTCCTCCCCAGAGGACTCCACGGGTCACTGTTATTGGGGAGCACCTGTGAATGGATCAGACCGAAATGGCCAGCAACTTCAACTGCAGTTGCATAGGGGGCAAAGCTTGGCACAAGGGCCTCGGTTCACACAATGCACCAGACCAGCTATTGTGCTAGGTAAAGCCAGGGTGGGTTGATCTGTTAATGGGCCAAAGAAGAATCACCTGTTACCGATGAGTCACTGAACAAAACAACGGGTTGCTGTGGCAACCGGTCGTAGTCCAGGGATGGGGAGGACACACACCTATCTCTAGCAAATGAAGGTGCAGATAAAAGCCCTCAGATTCAGAAGGATCTGCTAACGAAACAGACCCAGGAAACTAAATTGCTCTCCCCGGGGGTTGAGAGGCCGCTTCCATCGCAGGCCCAACACTCTCCCGTGGGCTCAGCCTGAGCAAGGGGCTCCTTACCAGCCGGGCTGCTGACTGTGACAATCCTGCCACGGGACGAGCGGAGCAGAGGCAGCAGCCCTTTGGTCAGCTCCAGGGGCCCAAAGAAGTTCACCTCCATGCAGGTGCGGAAGTGGGGCAGCGGCGTCAGCTCCGCATTAGCAATGGTGTCGTTGAACCCAGCGTTATTCACGAGGCCCCAGAGACCTGCCCGTTGGAACAGAAGAGGGAAACGTGGAAATGTTCACTGCAGCATGCGAGAGGGCACGAAAGGAGGAGGAGGAGGAGGAGGAGGAGGAGGAGGAGGAGGAGGAGGAGGAGGAGGAAGGGGGGGCACAAATTAAGCCACGCATGAAGCCTGGCCCACGGAAACTATTAATGCCAGACAGTGGCTGTTTTCTAATCGCTGCTTCTATGGGCAGAAGAGCTGTCCTCAGCTCAACTCCCCACACAGGGGGACACGCTGGCCAGGGCTGGAGACAGCAGAAGACCAAGAGGAAAGAGGGGCAGAGACCTTGGAAATCAGGACCTTGGGGGAGGGAGATGGTTTTAGGCCAATGGACACAGGAGCACTCTCCCTTTGGCATCTGTAGGCCAGTGCCTGGACACCCCTTCATCTTCCCACGTGGGGAAGTCTCCGTGGTCCTCGTCCCCTCAGCATCTTAGGAAAGAGGGAGGGCTCCTTCTGAATAGATGGAGGCAGCGTCTTCTATGGACCTGAGAGGCGCTGAGGGCAGATTACCTGTCCTTCCGGTCCGTGCCTTGATGAACTGCAGCGCTCGCCGAATGTCCTCTGCTTTCGTGAGGTCCATTTCCAGGAGGGTCAGCCGTGGCGAGCACGTCTGCCGAAGCTCTTCTGCCCCGGAGCTCTTCAGGTCCAGCACACTGGCATAGACAGTGAGTCCCAGCCTGTCCAAATGCTGGGCAGCTGCCTTCCCAAAGCCTGAGTCGCATCCTGGGTGGGGGTGTAAAGAGAGAGGTGGGAGAGCTGGACAAGAGGCTCTCAGAGCCGTGGCCTTCTTCCAGAGTTGTTTTGAAGATGGAAATGAGGAAGGCACAAAGGTGAGTCATGTCGGAATAGGTGGAAGGGGACGGGGGGGCAGGAAGCATTTAATTATGGGACAATTATGCATTACCCAAGAACCTGCTGTTTTTCACAATTTTAGTCAAATGGGGGCAACATTTAAATGCACTGAATAGGTAGTCACCATAAAAATCTTGTTGGAAATTAATTTCAACAGAATTAATTATATGCTTAACGTTCCCATAATGATGGGGATTTAAAAACCCTATTTGGGTGAGGTACAAGGTCCCCCCATGGGATGTACTTGTATAGTAGCCCTGAATGCCAGAGGTCCTGCTTGTTGGGCCCTGGGAAACACAAGGTGGGAGGAACATGCAGAACCCAGAAAAAAACCCAAGTTTTCAGAACAGCTGGGACTCTGCAGTGGAGGAAGACCTTTGCTGTAAACAGTGGCACAGAGGGGAGGAGGAGAAAAAAAATTAAATGAGCACCTGAGCCTTGGAAGTGAAAGTATGACAAGAGACCTTAAACAATATCAACGAGGTTCTTTATTTTGACAACTTTCTGATTTTTCAATTCCCGCTCAGCCAAGCTGGTGAAAGACCCTTTCTGGCACCAAGGCCTTCACGCCTGTGGGTTGGGCCTTGCCCAGGCTGGCTGCACCCCTCTCCCCTATGCTGGGAGCTCGAGGGGTTTGCAGTCCCCTCTGACCACAGGGACTTTGGGCCTTGGCCTGCCTTTCCCCTCATTCAAAGCTCGGCAGCTTTTGTGAACCATGGCAGCAGATCAAGCATGGAACTGAGGTTTCTCACCAACCATGGAGCCTAAAGAACAGCTTGTGTGCGGTCCAAAGCTGAGGGAGTGCGGAAGTTCTCTCCACCTGTCTAATCAACGTGCTAATATCACATCGCTCTTACAGCTTGCTTGGAAGGTGCAAGCATGCATTAGTTGTACGATACAGGAGGGTATTACTGAGCCCGCCCAGAAAACCAGCCACTTCATGAAACCGGAGTGTGGCATACAGCAACCAGTGTCTTAATAGTGCCATGCAGAGGCCCGTCCCGGTGCCCTGGGTTGCCTCTTTCTGGGGAGAAAGGCAGAGCCCCCCAAATGCGCCCGTCACACTTTCTTTCTTAAGTTATGACCAGCCCCATTTCAGAAAGGGGGCGGGCAGCGAAAAAAGCAGAAACGGCTGGGTTTCAGGTCAGGAAACCCTGAAGGGCGCACCCTGATGTATCAGCGGAGGGGGGGGGGCAGCCCCAGGCCTGTGTGACCCTGAGAGCCGCCCGTCCTTTCTCCTGGGCTCCAAGCAGCAGCTCTTGGCCTCCAACCGCCCCCCCCCCTCCCCAGCAGCAGGAGAGACGAGGCTGGCTCCCAGGAGTGGAGAAAATGGCAAGAGGGGCGAGGAGGGGAGGACTCGACTTTCTCACGCCAAGTGGGAGAGAAAGGGGAAGAATGAAAACAATCTGGGGCAAGCAAGGAACAGGATGTTCTTTCCCCCTCTGATAGGTATGGTGATAGAACTTCCCTCTCCAGCAGATTTATGGCAACATTAACCATTAACAGCTGCCGGCCAGCTGCCAGCACGTCAAGCGGAGGCTGCTGCGGGCTTGTGTGCACACCGGCTGCCACTCCCTCGGCCCACATTTCCACCCAAAGGGCACAGAACCAGCCCAGCCAGCCCAGGGGACCTTTTCTCTCCTTGGCCAAACTGGGGCCATCCAAACCAATGTTATCAATAAACATGCATGCCTAAACAGGGGGCGGGGGGTCCTGTTTTCTAGCAGGATTCCCTTCTGGCCGGATTTCTGAGCCACTTTGCACAGATGATGCCGTCTCCCTCCAGGTTTTCTTCATCCCATCCTCCATGTGTGGCAGAGTCAGAGCTCACTGGGCCCCATGATCCCTTTACGGCAAAGGAGATACGCCTGAAAACTTTGGGGCTCCTCCAGACTCTCGATTCTTCCCTTATCCAGTTTCGTCAGCTCTCGGTTCCTTCACAGAACCTGGAGCCACAGGCCATCTAATCCCTGAACCCACCTGGGTCATCTCTGCATTTTAACTGGTTTTTCTCTGGAAGGTCAGTCTGGTGGCCTTGGGTAACGAAGCACGTGAGTTCACCCGGCTGATGGTGGACGTTATCCAGGCCCCAAGGCTGCTCCTTCAAGTGCCCCGGCTGCTTCTGAGGAGGGTGGGTAACCCCAGGGCAGCCTTCCAATGCCAAAGGATTCCTCTGCTGCTGGGGCGTTTCTAAAGAGGCTGCTAGACAGGCAGATGCTTTAGATTCCGGCATATCTGTCCCCATCTGTCATCCTTTCTCTGACAAAAAAGAGATGATCTTAATTTGGCCATTGTTCTTTCTGGAGCTTCTTCACTTGGGATATAGACGTTTCTAGGTCCTTTTTCTATTAAATTTTAATATTGCATCACATTTCCAGTGTGTGCATATGCATATATTAATTGCATTAACATGCCTGTGCATATATTAATTGTTCTGTTAGTTTGTTGGAAATGAGGTTGTAAAATAATGCTTATATTGCAGTTTCAAGCTTCGCATCAGAAGTCACCTAGTTCCACCTGCTGCTTGGTGCAAATCTGCAAGAGCCTTTGGGGTACTCCTCCTCCCCCAGTGACGGGGGTGGCCTTTTCCTGAGGCCAAGTCCATTCCCCCGGCCTTGAGACATCCGAAGCCGCCTCCTTCCACTTTCTCTTCCTCCACCAAACGCATCCGGTCCTTTCATTGTTCCATCCTTCGCCTCCAGGCCCCTTGCTGTCTCGCTGGCCTCTTCTGCCCCGACACCCGTGTGTCTCTGTTGTTTTACACCGCAGTGCCCGTCCTTGGACTGTCATCCTGAGGGGCCACCGAAGTACTTTTGCCTTTCTAGCAGCTGCAGCTCAGACTACTGAGCCATGGCCTACCTGTGGCTGCCAAGGACACCCAGATCTTTTTCACACAGGTGCTACTACTAGGCCAATCTTCCACCCCCCCCACCCCCTCCTCCTCCTTTCATGCCTTCTAATGGCTTCCCCAGATGCCTCCCCTCCAGTTAAATTTCTTCTTGCTCATTTTGGCTCATTGTTCAAGCATGTCCAGATCTGAATCTCCTCGTTCTCTCTTAACCATTTCTCTACAGTACACGTGTCGCTTACCCATCTGACCACCATCCCTTCTCCCTCCAGGCCATCATCAGAGCCACGGGAGAGCCAGGGCCCGCATGGCCTCCAGCACCCCTCTCAGCTGCTCTCTGGGTGGCTGGGAAGACCCCCTGCGGGCCCCCTCTGCCCACCGAGGACTCCATCCCACCGCTGTGTGCTTGACCCAACTGAAATGCGCCTGGCAATTCTTGACTCAGCATGTTGTGGAAACACAGCCTTTGTCTTGACTGACACCGTCTGTCAATGATGGTTGCTTTGTTTGGGAACATCCCAGAATATGGAGTCAGCAGTTGCATTTTGTTCACCTGGGTATAATTTGCCATATTTTGTGAATCCAGTCGATGTATCCAGAAAAGAAAAACGGTGTGTCATAGAATTTTCTAGTGAGGCACAAATCATACAATGGTTCTGCACGGAAAACAATGTTGTTTTCCAACAGCAACTTCCCATATTTTCCCCACAGTTTTGTTCATCTTTTTTCCTAACCGTCCTGGAGGAAAAGGTGAAACAGCCACTTGATGCCTTCGGCAGAGCCACACTGAGCTCCTAAGGGCCTCCGCATCCCCTGAGCCACCCAGGAGGTCAGGACTGATGGGATCAAAAGCAACGGGCAGCCGATGTGGGAGGCCCTGACTTTCAGCAGCTCCCCTGGTCCTTAGGCACAGTTTCCACCCTGGTGGAAGGTGCTCAGCGCTCCCAGAGATGCCTGGCCTTGATTCCAACCTGCTCAGCATTTCAGGATTTGTTACTTTAACTCTCTTTCATTTGTGCACTTTTATTGTATGCTGTTTCTAGAGCATTTTGTCTTGCGGTCTGCCAACAGTCCTTAGGGAATTTTGCCATCAATGTAAAATAATAACAAAAACCAAAGCACTCTTTATCACCGTCAACCTCTAAATGGTATAAGACCATGTATTTTGGTAATTTTGGCCAATCTGTGTATTACATTTAAATTGGAAAAGTAAGGTGGGGCCAGTGCACCACCATACACGTGTGCCCAGGGCTCGGGGCACCATAGTCCTAGCCAAATGTGGGCCAAGGCTGTGATGCAAATGGATCCAAACAAAGCAAATGGATCAAGTCGAAGAGAATCACCTTTCCTCTCTGGTCACCAGTCAGTGGATCTTTGGTATCCAGTTCTGGGCTCGCCTTTTAAGAAGGGGGGACCCCATAGAAGCAAAGTAGGGAGAACAAGAAAATAGGTGTCAACCACTTGGCGGGCAGCGGTCTTGCTCATTTTCTCCTCTGGAACAAAGTATATCTGGCATCTCTGGGGGTGTTTGTGTGCACGCAGGATTGATGTCCCTATAGAAAAGAGGGGTGTGGGGCTGCTCTGGGGCCGTGGGGATTGGGATGGAGGCTTGAGCTGGGACAGTCAGAGGCCCATTCGGCCTCAGGTAGTTTCTGAAAATCGTTTTTCCTGCACTCCCAGACTGACTCTGGCCCATTTTTGAGCATTTTTTCCCCTTTTGTGTTTCCCCTACCATGCCAAATTTCTTTTCTTTTCTTTTCTTTTCTTTTCTTTTCTTTCTTTCTTTCTTTCTTTCTTTCTTTCTTTCTTTCTTTCTTTCTTCCTTCCTTCCTTCCTTCCTTCCTTCCTTTCTTTCTCTTTCTTTCTTTCTTTCTTTCTTTCTTTTTCTTTCTTTCTGAACACTCACTGGTTTGGAAATCATCGCCACCACCATCATCCCTGGCTGAAACTGGAAAGGACGTATTTGGCACTCTTAAAAAACACCAGCTGCATAGATGGACCAGGATGAGGGCAGAGGGGTTTC